ATAAAAAATCATAAATGTGACAGTGGCGGGGTTCAAAATTGAACTTGCCAAAACCAATCGCCTTCCATGGGCTGGTAAAATTCGGCAACTAACTTTATCTTTAATAATAATACATTTTAAAGGCAATGTAAAAATTAAATAAATTCTGAATAACATCAAAATGAATAGGATAATATTCAAATCTAAGACAAATGATAACAGATGACAATATATATATACATTCAGATATTAAAGTAATATAAATAAAAAATATTAAATAAATATCAATTTAATATTAGGTTTAAAATACTTTTTTTTTTAAAAGATGCTAAAATTAAAAATAAATATAAACAAATAAAATAACCAAACAACAATATCATATAAACAAACAAAAAATTACATATTATATATAAGAACATATTCACATATAGCTCATAACCTAAATACTTATTATAGATTCGACTTTCATTTTTTCTTTTTTTTTTTTTTCAACAGAAACAGATTTTACTGTTAAGAAGAATTTACATTTATTTTTTCTGTATTTTTTGTTTTTTCTAAAAGGGTTTATTTATATTTTAACATTGTACATAGTTTTAAGTATCTTAGTATGGTTTCAAGAGTTTTTTATATAGATTTTTTAATTTTATTTTGTATATAGTATGTATAACCAATATTTTTTTTTTCTTTTTTTTAATGATCTATCTTTATCTTAACTTTTTATGTTTGTTTTTATCTGGCCAGATATAAAATTTTAATTTCTGTACTTTTTTGATATTCTGAAGGGACTTCGTCCCAGAATAAAATTATTTTTCTATTCTATAATTTGTTTCAAGGAAATAATTAATCTTTTGCATAATTCATTTATTCGTGTCATTAACAATGTGCCGAGTCCCATTGGATCATTATCAAGTTATCTTAAAGTTTTCACATTTCCTTTCCTTATTAAATTATCTCTTAATGGCATGATGATAATTGACCGTAATTATAATTTAAAAGTTGGTTGGAGTGCTATTAATATATAATACTATATATTATAATAGTATTTTATTGTATTTGCCAATGTTTCCACCTATATCGTAGGTGCTATCAGTATCAGGGCTAAGTAAAAATAATAGTTTATGAAGAACTCATAAGTGTTGAAGTGAAATAAAGAATTGTTAGAAATACAGTGTATTATATATATATATATATATGATAGAGTACACTAGATATTAATCATAAATATAAAGTGATTAACAATGTGATGAAAAAATATATAAATGAATGAATGAATGAAAATAATTTTATTATTCTCGAACTAGTGTCCCTTTAGAACAAGTTACAAATACAGAATATATATGAATATTCTGGTGTGTCCATAAAATATAATTAAATATTTAGAGGATGATTAGGAATACAATAAAATTATAGATAATAAAAAGATATAAAAATGTGTATAAATATAAAATAAACAGAGAAAGTAAATTAAGTAAACAAAATATCAATGAGTAACAAAATAACCAAATTTTACAAAATAATCATAATAATAATAATATATGATGTGTGCTTAAGACCACATGATAGAAGTGAAAACAGCTACAATGCGGAATTAATATTATGAAATATAAATATTCATTCAGGTTCAGTATTCACAAAGTAACAACATTTACAATATATATAAAATTATGATTGTGTGCAAAGTTTGTTCTATGCTCATAAATTAATAACATTTACAATATATACAATTATAATTGTGTTTAAATTACTCTTATATGCCTTTCATAAGATACAACAATTATGGCTTAACAACATAACAGTTATTTCTATGGACTGGATTTATATATATTTACATATTTTTTACTTACGCTTACTATACCACCCTCCTTCAACAATTTACATTATGTTTCATTCAAATTAAAAGCAAATCAAGTAACATATATTTTACATATTTTGAGGATATTACATATTAGGAGTATATCTAGACTAGAATACCAATGTAAGAATTCTTACAATATCCTTTTCTTCACCTGATGCATTTGACATAAATTGACATTAGTGAATCATGTTTATTTCAATATACAATGTAATATTATAAAGATAGTCTATGCAATATACTTCAAAGCTTCATACTTTACCGCAACTTTGAAAGTAACAATTTACTAAATATATGATTTCCATTCCCTACCTGCAGGTCTTCCTCAAGGACCCTGTCTTTCTCCTACTCTATTTAATCTATATATTTCTGATATCCCTTCCTTCCCTTCAGTAGAACACTCACTATATGCAGATGATACAGCTATCTATACATCTTCTTTCAGAATTGATACAATAGCAACCAGACTACAATCCCACTTTATCAGACTTATCAAATACTTTGAAAAATGAAAGATAAAATTAAACAAACAAAAAACAGAAGCAATAATTTTCACAAAAAGAAGACCAAGTATAACTCATAAAAGACAAACCGATCCCATGGTCCAATTCAGTGAAATATTTATGCCTTAAACTTAATAAAACCATAAATTTCATCCAGCATGTAAATAATAAATGCAATAAAGCAAAAAAAATTATTAGCAAAATGTCCCTGTATTTCAATAGATACTCCCAATTATCTTAAAAAAATAAATTGATTTTATATAAAGCAGTTATCCGCCCTTTAATCACATATTCTTCCTCAGTATGGAGTTATAATTGTAAGTCTAACTACAGACAACTTGAAGTGATTCAAAACATGTACATGTGAATTATAAACAACTATCCAAGATACAAAAAAATAGACACCCCATTAACAGAATTACAGCTTCCAACAATAAAACAATATATTTATTTTTAAACACAATGATTCTTTGAGCTTACAACAATATATGATAATCCCATGATCTAAACAATAAGAAACTATGAAGTAGCTGAAACGGTACACACACAAAAGGAAAAAAAACATACTCCTAACATAACAAAACCCAACTTCATAACATTACATTACAAATTTTGAAAAAAAAAAAAAAAAAAGCAGCAACATACTACACACCAATTATTGAATAATAATTTATAAGATATTAAACAAGTGATTGTGTACTTAGTTTTATCTTGTTTATACATTTTAATGACAGTATATAGTTTTTATGTTATTTATTCATTTTTATAACTTATGTAGGTTTTTTTTTGTAAATTTTTGCTATTGTACAAAATATATTTCTGCATAAAAAAAATCAACCACAATCAAACCACTTTATTGTAATATGTGTAAGGTAATGTTGCCATAAGCATGTAACCATTATTATGATTTATTGTGTTGTATATATATGTAAATAAAATATTTTTTTTTTTTTATTTTGAATATATGATTCGCTTGTTTCACTGGAAATTATCCCTCTAGTTTAATAGTTATACAACAAGACAAAGCTATCCCTGAACTTATACTAATCCATTATTGTACTTGCTCGAGACCTATTTGTTTGGCACAGAAGAGTCTTGCTTTGTAGAGTACGCTATTTCTGTGTATATAAAAGCCATACCTAAATATACTTTTATTTACAAAAAATATCAGTTTCTTTTTATATTGCCCGAGGTGCCTTGGCATCTGAAAAATTTCTCTTTATTTACATATTGAATAGATATTTTGTTGGGGCTTTTGATATCAAGTAAGTATATTTATTCTAATATAGAATAAAATATTATACGATCAATGAAGCCTTATAAAGTAACAATTTATTTAATAATTTATTAGCTTGTCCTACTGGACAAATTCCTTACAGTTTAATAACTTGGAAATGAGAAACAGTTATCCCTGAACAAATTCAATATTAGTTTCTAAAAAGTAGGTTTTAAAGACCGAAAATGTCTCATTTTGAGCTGTCTTAATTCTTGCAGAATGTCTCTTAGGTGTTTTTTTTACCATTTGATGCTTGTTACTTAGTATTTATGTATTAAAATATTGCTATTTATGGTAATCTTCGAGGAACTAACTAAAATAAATTGAAAAGGTAAATAATTTAACAGAAGGATGGTTGGGGTGATCAGTCAAATTAAAATGGTAAAAAATAAATAATTTTATTTATTTTTACATTCGCCGACGTTTCGGCCTGAAGTTCAGGCCTTCATCAGGGCTGGGAAAAGAACCAGATAACAATAGGTATAATAACATTGAATAATACAGAATTAAGATAAAAAAGAGGGTGATAGGTACAGACTAATAATTTTTAGTTGAATAACTTAATGTAAAATGAAGTAGATAGAATGAACATTAAAATAAAGTAAGTAGAATGATAACAGTAACAGAGAACTAAGAAATAAATAATAATAACGGCAACAATGAAATAAGCATAATAAAATATAAGGTAACATAAGAAATGAAAATGGTAATCTAGAATAAAGTGTAAAACAGAGAAAAGAAATGTGAAGTTATATAAGGAAATAATAGATATAAATAGAACATTAAGATATTGTAAAATCTATCAAAAATATAATGTAAACAAAAATTTTATGAGGAAATGTATCATATATAGAAAATAGCAGATAAGGAAAATAGAGTGGCGAGAAGGACAAAGAAAAGGAGAATAAGATAATAAAAATAAGCAAAAGTAAATAGAGAAGGATAGGTTTATGATCCCTTATGCACTTCGAATGATATAGAAAGAATTTTTTTGGGATTTTTAATAAAAAAAAAAAAAAACCACCTAAGCCTTCTCGCTGTATAAGCTGTATCATCGCTAATACTGGTTCGATTCCAATGATTGTTTTTTTTTTTGTTTTCTTGGTAATTTAATTACCTTTCAAAAGTTTTATTATAAATTTTACTGTATAATATATACTAGGGAGTTAGGCCCCATAACATTTTTCTTTTCTTTATAACTTTATTTCCTAATTTTTTTCGGGAATTTAGGTTATATACGAAAATTGAAAGGACAATGATTAGAACATCACAGAAAAGTTTCATCAAAATCGTTAGAGCCGTTTTCGGGCTACAGTCTATAGAAAAACATGTTTTTCATTTATTGCGCGCAAGCTATTGCGCATGGACCAACGAATTTCTGTCACAGGCATCAGTAGTCAAAACCCTACAAAATAAAAAAAGAAGCAACAAAATCAGTTCAGTAGTTCCCGAGAAAATCTTGGCACAGAAAGGTCTAATGGCTAAAAATGTGTTTTTCGGACTCAGGGGGCTGTGAAACGTACTAATCCGTCGAAAACCGCATGTTGGAAATTTGACCCGATTGCAATACTTTCCTTACCTAGTATAGGTAGGAAAGTAATATATGGTGCTGTTATACAATTCTCTTTTTTAAACATGGTAAACGACTTGATATCTGCAAATAAGCTGAAATGGTTACGTTGCTTAAGGAGACGGAAAGGTATCCTGTGGCTTCTTGGTGTCCTTTCCAAGAAGCTGCGTAGTTGATTGCTGCGAAGCCCCATTTGTCTTCTTTATCCTTATTTGCTCGGTGATTTCGAAGAAGTTTTACTATCTCGAAGTGACCTCTGGCAGCGCTGCGGTGAAGAGCAGTTCTTCCATTCACATCAGGCGTAAAACCTCCGACTCCATACTTTAAAAGCAGCGATACGACCTTAGTATGGCCTTCCCTGGACGCCAAGAATAAAGGAGTTTCCTCATCTCTATTAACTGTAGTGCTAAGTCTAAAATTTTTCTTCAGTAAAATAGACACTATATTCAAATGTCCATTTAATGCAGCGTAATGTATTGGGTGATTTAGAAACTCATCTTGGGAAAAAGGATTGGCTCCATTTGACAGGAGCATTTCTACACATCCTGAGGAATCGTCTCTCGACGCAATATGTAAAGGTCTCATCAGCTTGTAATTAAATGCATCAACGGAATAATTATAGTGTAAAAGCGTCCTTACGATGTCTACTTCACTTAATTCTTCAAGGAAGGAACTAACATGCCTTTCACAAGCCAGGTGAAGTGGGGTATTCCCGTATTTGTTTCTAGCGTCTATAAAAGACCTAAAACCAAGTATTTGTTCTACCACATCCGAATGTCTTTCTCTTGCGGCGAAATGCAGTGGCGTGTTGCCATCAAAATCTCCAGCTTCCGAGTTCGCTCCTGCCTTCAATAAGATCTCAACGATTTCTCTGTGACCTTCAAGAATAGCAAGATGTAATGGAGTTTTCAAATCTTTGATTTTCGCTTCTTTGTTAGCGTCGAGATTTAGTAGCAACTTCACTATTTCCTGGGAACCGATAACAGCTGCATAATGAAGCGGAGTGTATCCATCATTATCAATAAGTTCAAAGTCAGCTGGAGGATCGGCAAGCAGTAATTGGGCTATTGAAAATGAGCCAAGTCGACAGGCGATGTGCAAGGGAGTCGTACCGTTGATATCTGCAGAATTCTTATCTGCTCCAGAATCTAAAAGAGATTTCACAACTTCTACATACTCTTCTTTACACGCATAATGGAGTGGCGTACGTCCATATTCGTCTCTTACTTCCAATGAAGCCCCATTTGATATCAACAACTCCACTATTTCCGTGAGGCCATAGTAAGAAGCAATGTGCAGTGCTGCTAATTTGTGGATCTCAACTTCATCGTCCTGAGTTGTAATCAATTTTACATCAGAATCTGCATCCATAAATTTCTTGATGATCCTCACTTGCAGTTTTTCTCTTGTTTGCTTGGAGAATTAATTTAACCATCTCTATATTTTTCGTCATAACGGCTGTAGATAGAGGAAGATTACCGTGGACGTCCTTCTTTTCTATATTTGCTCCGAATGCGATGAGCAGTTCGACTCCTTCTAGGTGCGTCATTCCGATGGCATAGTTAAGTATATCAGTTGGGTAAGATTCAAAATGTATTGCTCTGTTCAATAAAAGCTCTGCAAGATCCAGATTTTTTTTCAAAATCGCATCAAATAATATTTTCGATCCTAAGAAACTTCCATCTTCGACTTTTGCACCGTGTTTTAAAAGTAATTTTATCAATACTTCTGATGATTTTAAGAAGGCTACGTCCAGAGGGGTTCTCCCCTCGTCGCTCATGATGTTTGGGTCAGCATTCTCAGATAAAAGAAACTCAGTTATTATAATGTTGTTTCTTTCAATGACTAAGTACAAAGCTGTAATGTTATAACAACCTACTCTGTCGATTTCATCGCCATTATTCAACAAGACCTTTATTAAGTTCATATTTTGATTATTAGCAGCCCAATGGAGAGGAGTAAAGCAAAAATAATCTTGAATTCCTAAACTGGCATTCTGAGACAGCAAATATTGAACGACGGCAACATAACCCAAGTTGGTAGCTTCGTGTAGCACTGTATGACCTCTCCTATTTTGTGAATTCACATCAGCCCCACGCGCTATAAGAGTCTTCATGAGAGTGATGATGGTCTTTTCCAGGTGTTGGTTTCTTCTGGCGTTGTTGAATTTGAATCTCACTGCAAAAAAAAGCGGTGTATTTCCCGTAGCTCCGATCATATTAACATTCGCACCGTGATCCATAAGTAGGATAATCACATCTAAGTTTCCTGTCATTACTGCCCTATGTATCGCAGCGTTTTGAGAAGAGTCTCTAATATCTAAACTCGCATTCCTCGATAATAGCAAGTACAAAATACTTTCATAATTTTTAGTAACAGCAATATGGAGAGGGGTTCTACCGGTAATTCCTCGACTATTAATATTAGCACCGTGGTCTAAAAGCTCCTTAACAATATTCAGATACCCATAAGATACTGCTTCATTCATTACTGTTCCGTTATACATATCTCTTACATTCACACTTGCATTCCTCTCCAACAGTAAATTAACAATATTTTCGTGGCCTTGCCTAGCAGCAATATGGAGAGGTGTCGATCCGAAATTACCCTTACTATCTGTAGTAGCGCCATGATCTAATAATGCCATGACAACGTTCAGATTACCATAAGCCACTGCATCATATATTGGAGTGTTATTATACATATCTCGTGTGTCCCAACTTGCATTTCTCGACAACAGCAAATCAGTAATATTTTCGTACCCCATCATAGATGCAATATGTAGAGGCGTTCTGCTGAAATTTCCTTTAGCATTGATATCAGCACCATGATCTAAGAGTGCTTTAACAACATTCAATTTATCACTCTTCATTGCTCGATGTATTGGGGCGTCATTGTAATTATCTCTTACATACAAACTTGCATTCCTCTCCAACAATAAATTAACAATATTTTCATAACCCAGGTTAGCAGCAATGTGGAGTGGCGTAGATCCGAAATTTCCCTTACTATTAATATTAGCACCATAATCGAGAAGTACCTTAACAACATTCAATTTCCCACCAATCACAGCTTCATGTATTGGAGCATTATCATGGATATTTCTTATATCCACACTTGCGTTTCTCGATAAAAGCAAATCAACAATATTTTCAAAGCCCTTCCGTGCTGCCAAATGTAGCGGTGTCCAACCGAACAATCCCTTACCATCGACAACGGCACCATGATCGAGAAGTTTCTTAACAATATCCAAATTCCCGTGAAATACTGCGTCATGTAATGCAGTGTAATTAATTGCGTCACCAATAACAACACTTGCGTTATCCAACAGCAGCAAATCTGCAATGTTTTCATAACCTTTCATAGCTGCAAAATGTAGCGGCGTTCTACCTAAATTCCCTTCACTATTGATATCAGCACCATGATCAAGAAGTGCCTTAACAATATTCAATTGTCCACCCTTTACTGCTGTATGCACTGGAGCGTCATTATCCAGATCTCTTACATCCAAACTAGCATTCCTCTCCAACAAGAAATTAACAATAGCTTCATATCTCCCGAAAGCGGCAATATGCAGCGGTGTCATACTGGAATTTCCTTTAGCGTTGATGTTAGCCCCATGATCTAAAAGTGCCTTAACAATATTTAAACTCCCATTAGATACTGCAACATGAATTGGAGTATTGTTATAAATATCTCTAATATCCAAACTTGCGTTCTTCTCCAATAGTAAATTGACAATACTTTCATATCCTTTCTGAGCAGCAATATGCAGCGGTCTCATATTGGAATTTCCTTTAGCATTGATGTTGGCACCATGATCCAGAAGTGCTTTAACAACATTAAGGTTCCCATTAGATACTGCAACATGTATTGGAGTATTGTTATAAATATCTCTAATACCTAATCTTGCTTTCTTTTCCAATAGTAAATTGACAATACTTTCATATCCTTTCTGAGCAGCAATATGCAGCGGTCTCATATTGGAATTTCCTTTAGCGTTCATGTAGGCACCATGATCCATAAGTGCTTTAACAACATTAACGTTCCCATTAGATACTGCTTCATGTAGTGGAGTATTGTTATAAATATCTCTAATACCTAATCTTGCTTTCTTTTCCAATAGTAAATTGACAATACTTTCATATCCTTTCTGAGCAGCAATATGCAGCGGTCTCATATTGGAATTTCCTTTAGCGTTGATGTTGGCACCATGATCTAGAAGTGCTTTAACAACATTAAGGTTCCCATTAGATACTGCATCATGTAGTGGAGTATTATTATAAATATCTCTAATACCTAATCTAGCTTTCTTTTCCAATAGTAAATTGACAATACTTTCATATCCTTTCTGAGCAGCAATATGCAGCGGTCTCATATTGGAATTTCCTTTAGCGTTCATGTAGGCACCATGATCCATAAGTGCTTTAACAACATTAACGTTCCCATTAGATACTGCTTCATGTAGTGGAGTATTGTTATAAATATCTCTAATACCTAATCTTGCCTTCTTTTCCAATAGTAAATTGACAATACTTTCATATCCTTTCTGAGCAGCAATATGCAGCGGTCTCATATTGGAATTTCCTTTAGCGTTGATGTTGGCACCATGATCCATAAGTGCTTTAACAACATTAAGGTTCCCATTAGATATTACAATATGTAGTGGAGTATTGTTATAAATATCTCTAATATTCAAACTTGCATTCTTCTCCAATAGTAAATTGACAATATTTTCATATCTCTTCCTAGCTGCAATATGCAGAGGCGAGGAACCATCTTTTCCTCTTATGTTTATTTCAGAACCATGATCTAAAAAATTTTTAATTTCTTCGATGTTTCCTTTTTCTATGGCCAGATGTAGGTGAACATCGTTTTGCTTATATCCAACGTCATTTTCCGGCTGAGCGTGACGGAAATCCGGTGCAATAGCTGAATGTTCTTTGCTTTTCTCTGCTTCATCCTGAAATCATAAAATAATTGAATATATTATAAATTGTGTAATTGCGGAAGAATTCTCTTTGAAAACCAAACTTCGATGTTGTTGATAATCGGCATAAAAACATTGTTTATTTTCTTATAAGTCTGTAAACCGGTTTAAGTAAACTGGGAAGCCTAGTTAAATACGATAACAAATTAGAGAGTGAAATAAAGCTAGAATAACAGCAGGATATAGATGCTACTTCTTATTGCAAAAATATTTGATATTTAGGTCACCCTCTCTAAAAGAATCAAAATTCTCATATACAAAACTATATTAAGGCCAATGGTTACGTATGGGTGTGAGACATGAACCTTAATTAAAAATTCAGAACGCATGCTCCGAACTCCTACTAGAGAAAAGAATTAAGATGGATATAAAGCGGAGTAGCTGAGAACGGGATTTGGAGAAGAAGAAGGAATGAGTAGCGTGAAATGTTTGGGGAACTCGATATTGTGACATAAGGAAAAATAGCTTGTTAAGACGGATAGGCCAATTAAGATGGAAAGAATGCTTTATGCTAAGCCGGATGGCAAAAGAAGTAGAGACTCCCTCGCATCTGATAGCTGGAGGATGTGGAGGGCAATTGAGGCGTCTGGGTGATAGATGATGGAAAGCACAGGGCCGTATAGATGAGGATAGAGTTGGCAAACATCGGTCCAAGACCGCTTGATTGTTGCAAGACCAAGACCAGGATTGATAAAAAAATAACGAGGATGTGTGCTTTAGACCACACGATAGAAGTGAAAAAAGCAACAAGGCGAGATTAATAATGTTAAATATAGATTGTAAATAATAGCTCATTATAAAGAGGGTCAAATGCTCGTCTGATTTTCAGCTTCTGAGAAATTTCAATCCATATCTTCCATTAAACACTTTAATTTTGGTATGCATTTCTATTGTATCCTAGCATTTTTCAATTATTTTGATTACATCTTTTCAGTTGATATTGGTAAATAAATGTTCTACATCAAAACAGACCAAACAATATTTATCTATTGTCTATTTTATTTATTCTTTCAAGCATTTGATCCACCTCCATGGAGTTTTTTTTACATCATTGTTACTATCTGATTTTAGGTTGAGTGTGGAATTGAAATATATAGTCAATTTTTTCAGTGTCCCCATTGATATTACTGATAATAGGACTAAGTGGAGGGCCACTTTTATTTAACTTTACTAATCCATGTATTTTAGATATATTGTTGTTAGGATTAATCAGTTTAATTTCGTTTAATAGGAAATTTTAAATTCCTGAAATGACCACATCTTTGTAATTAGGCAACTCATGGAGAAGGCAATAGCACACAATGAAAAAGTACATCTTTTCTTTTCTTTTTTTTTTTTTTTTTTTTTGTTCTTCCCTATCTCGCCATAATACAAAACCCATCTAAAAAAAAAAAATCCTAAATTTTAATTATACACCCGTCAACGATGGGTACATCAGCTAGTTAGTTATTAATAATATCAATAAAAATTTACGCTCAATATTTATCAATACACTATATAATTATATTGCATCTTATATATACTATTCTATCTAATATACTATTCACTATATCAAGTATATACACTTACAGTGAGAACGAGGTGGTAGACATAGAAGAGGATACAGATGAGAGCAACCGACATGACAAGAAAGAAGACGCGAAAAGACGTTTGAAGAACTTACTACAGTCTATTGTAGAGTAGTAATGTGTAAAACTGATTATAATCGATATAACAGAGTAGTATCATTTGGGGAAGAACGCCAGACCCACAGGAAGTTAATATCAGTTCTATTTTGATTGGTATGATAATGTAGAAGGCCGTAAATGAATTATAACGTATTTTCCTCAACATATCACCATCAGAAAAAATCTTCAAATTTATAAGAAAAAGAAATAAATCTGGTGGATACATTACCCAACTTTCGCCTACTAACCTTAGGGTAATGAAGAGAAGAATAGTTGGGGTGGTCAGTCAAAAAGGAAGGCAAAAATAAATGATAATATTTATTTTTACATATGCCGACGTTTGAACTAGCTGAAGTTCAGGCCTTCATCGGGGCTAAGAAAATAACCAGATAACAAGGTATGAGAAACATAAATAGTGATGGTAAAAAAAAAAATAATAATAAAATAAAATAAATAAATTTAAAGTAAAAAGAAATTGTTAGAATAATGACTAAGAACTAAGAGATAAGTAATAATAACCGTTACAAAGTGTGGAATGATGAAGTAGGCATAATCAAAAAGGGTGACATAAGTGTTACAATGGGAATCTTAGAATAAAATGTAAAACATAATGTCTTAATTTTACTATTTATTTTCATTTCTTATATAACTTCATATTTCTTTTTTATGTTTTACATTTTATTCTAAGATTCCCATTGTAACACTTATGTCACCCTTTTTGATTATGCCTACTTCATCATTCCACACTTTGTAACGGTTATTATTAATTATCTCTTAATTCTTAGTCATTATTCCAACAATTTCTTTTTACTTTAAATTTATTTATTTTATTTTATTTTTTACCATCACTACTTATGTTTCTCATACCTTGTTATCTGTTTATTTTCTTAGCCCTGATGAAGGCCTGAACTTCAGGTCGAAACGTCGGCATATGTAAAAATAAATATTATCATTTATTTTTGCCTTCCTTTTTGACTGACCACCCCAACTATTCTTCTCTTCATTATCCGCGACAGTCAACCAATTACCAATTATAACCTTAGGGTAGATAAGAATTTTCAAATATAGGGAACTAAAAGTAAAAACGACGGAACAAGTTATTTAAAATAATTAATTACCATGTTTTTCTCACCTAACTAATTTTAATGTATATATATATATATTTTTTTTTTTTTTTCGGTTGGCTCTACAGACCTTGTAGATCTTTGGCCGCCTGAACCAGCCTTCTCCACCTCTGCCTATCTTGGGCTACTGCTTTCCAGTTTGCGGCATGAAGCTCAGCCGTATCTTTGTTTATTCTATCTATCCATCTGGTTTTTGGCCTCCCACGTGGTCTCTTGCCTACTACTCTGGCATTCATTGTCGTGTAGAGGCGTCCTGGTGGATTACTACGATCTAACTGCCCTGCCCATCTTAACCTCTTTGCCTTCATTTCATGAAATATTGACTGACCCGTTTCTTTCAGCAGTTCTTTATTGTTCCTTCTCCTCCATGTGCCAAGGTTCTGGTCCCAAATAGGTCCTGTTATCCTACGTAGAACTTTTCTTTCGAATCTCCCAATTCTGTCTTCTAATGTGCCGGTTAGAGCCCAGATTATATATATATATATATATATATATATATATATATATATATATATATATACACATATATATTTATGAGGAGGATCGGAAAGTATTTTCATTTCTGAGCATTTCACTATTTGATTGTCTATAGTTGTAAATAATTAAATTAATTTTTTTTTTCAGTTTTCGGTTAAAAGCGTTGCATGCTTTTTGGGTTTCGCAAGGGTAATAACACAACAGTTGCAAAAACATTCGTGATGTTTATCCAAATGTATTGGACGTTCGCAAATGCCAAAGATGGTTTTTCAAGTTTAATTCAGGCAATTTGATCTTTCCAACTCGTATCAATCGAGTGCTCAACCAAGAACATTTGCAGCAGATTTGGAAACCACCACATGCAACTTATTACTTCAACGGCACAATACAGAAGAAGTTTTGTTGATCGCTTGATAGCCAGAGATGAAAAATGAGTCTTGTATGATAATCCAAAACGCAAAGAGCAGTGGCTCTCTCCAAAGGAATCGCCAAGAAGTACTGCTAAGCCTGGTTTACACCCCAAAAAGGCCTTTTTTCTGTGTTGGGTGCAGTATTCCCGGCGTTGCTCATTTAGAAGCGCTGAAACCTGGATAAATTGTGAATGCAGATCTTTGTTGTGAACAATTGGATCTATATTGGGCCTTTTTGAGGTATATATAAATATATATATATATTGCTTTATATAATGTTTTTTTTTTCTGTTGGCATTACAGACCATGTTGATCTTTTGCCGCCTTAACAAGCCTGCTCCATCTCTGCCTGTCTGGGACTATTTCTTTCCATTTATCTGCACGAAGCTCTGTTGCATCTTTGTTTATTCTATCTATCCATCTGCTTTTTGGCCTTCCACGTGGTCTTTTGCCTTCTATTGAGGCATTCATTGTTAAGTAGAGGCTTCCAAATGGATTGCTACGAGGTACATGTCCCACCCATCAAAACCTCTATGCCTTCATATCATCGGATATTGATTGACCAGTTTCTGTAAGCAGTTCTTTATTGGTCTTTCTTCTCCATGTGTTAGTACTGTAATCCCAGATCGCTCCGGTTATCGTATTTGTTGGTTATCATATCTTTCAACACTTTTTTATTGAGTTCTCGTTATTGTCCAGGTCTCACAGCCATATATTAGAACTGGCCTTATCATAGGATTGTACACCTTTAGTTTGAGATTTTTTGAAATTTTTCGGGATTTCAATACCATTGAGAATGAGAAGAAAGTTATGCTCAAAATTCAAAATTTGAGGTTTTACGTTTCAGAATACGTAGACTTCGAAAAACGAATACAAATTTTTTTGTCCGTCCGTCGTCCGAGCAATTTCCTTCGAAACTACTGGACCGATTTTTTTTCAAATTTAGATTTAAAATCAGAGGTCACCCGAGGATGATCCTCCTTCATCGACATTACTATCTGCCTTTTCCTTTCAAATGGCCGAAAATTCTGCGTTGGTATAGACTGTAGCGCCTAAACGAATGAGCTGATTTCAATGAAACTTGGCTAAATACTTCTTCTTGACGCCCTTTAAATTTATCTATATATAACATACTTCAAAGAAAAGAAGCTGGAAAAAAAATTACGAGGGATGGTAAAATTAAATTCCGAATAACTCAAAAAGTATACATTTTTGTTGTTATTCTATGGTTATTTAAAAGTTTACAAAATAAAAAAAAAATCGTTAAAACCGGACAATTAGGAGCAAAGATATGGTCTCTAGATGTTTTTATATGTTCTACTGCAAGGGTTATATCCTTTGTTTCGGTTTTTGATTTTTGAATGTGTTACTGAAGTAATGCTTATTTTTTTAGCAAGTTACTAATGACAAAAAAGAAATGTTTAGACCAATAATTGGAATTATCTTTTATTTATATTTCTTTGTCACTAGGAAGGTACTTTAGATGTATAATTGTTTGGAAATAATGAACCATTGTGATATAATTTGCAGCGTTTTTATACATATAGGTATAATATAATATTGCACCTTTTACAATAATTATGTTGATCATCACTTATAATTTTTGTACGTAATATAAACACCCAAGACTTTTTGGGGTGGGCTTATCGCACCCCTTCCTCCTTAACCAAAATGGAAAGTCTGCGGCTTGCGGCTATGTCTACTCAACTGGAGACTAATCACTGTATTTTGTTTTCATAAAACAACATATATAAATCTATTTATACCACCCAATAAATAATTTGCACAGGCGGATCTATAGAGATGGTTTTGGGGTTGAAGCCCCCCTCCCCCCAAAAAAATGGTAAAATATAACCATGTTTTATGGAAAAAAATATTTAAAAAATTATCTCTTAAAGTATTACTGTTCGTGTAATTACATTTAAAAGTACTTTAGGAATCACTTAAACACCATTTCATATAGGTAGTTAGTTTCTTTATTTTTTTCCAAAGTAATTATCGATATTTTTATGAAAAAAAAAAAAGCTGTCGGGCTGAAGCCCCCCAAAATTAAATCCTGGATCCGCTAGTGATTCGCACATAGGTATTTGGATCAATATATAAATTAATGTCTGAACATAACTGATTTTTTTTTCTGATTTGATTTCGTTAGAGATGTGTCGAATCTTTTTTCAAAGGAGTCAAAACATAAAATAAAATGGATAGAAACGCACACAATAACAATAACAACACAGTTTATCAGTAACCTCGTTGTCATAGGAACATGATAAAAACAAATGATTTTATGAATCATTATCAACAAAGAACCCTTCTAGAATTAGGTTTACGACAATTTTGTTGACAAAATTGAGAAAAGTATAAATTGAATTGTGGTACTTTTACTTCCATTTACCAGTATATAATATATATATATATATATATATATATATATATATATATATATATATATTAAGGGAAAATATTGCGATCCCGCAAATTATACAAAAAGGTGTATGCCTTTGGATATTATAGCATCTTTTTCGTTAAAATTGGCTCTTCCGAAGTGGCACTTTATTTTTTTGATTTTATAAATTTTTACAATTTCTTAAAAAAACGTTAAAATTTCACCATATTTTGAATAAATTCATTATATCAGTGTCAAATTAAGTTATATTTAATTTTTGGCAGGTATTATTCTCATTTAAATAGTCTTAACCTTGTGAGCGGGATTAATAGTAAATATTTAGGTGATAAATGAAAGTTGTTTGATGCATATACCGCACCACGTCTGTCAAGTAAGGTCAGTATAGCTTCCTCATCGTCTTCATTAGCTAAACAATTTCTCTATTAAACGTTCTAAAAGTTTTCGTATGAGAACAAAATATCCGGGAAAATCCGTTTTCGGAAATACATTAAATCCCTCAACATTCGCGGATATGTTATCTACGAGTTTTGTTCATCAGCAATGACTAAAATGAAGATGAGTTCCACATTTGCATATTGCAT